CGAAGAATAGTACTAGGATCGCATCTGAATCAGACAAAATCGTACCAAATCGTATGAAAATCATATATGAATCGTGGTATCTGATTTGTCCTTTGGATCGTATAACACGATCGTACAAGATCATAGACGATCATACACCTTCGTATGAAATCGTACAGTACGAGCCAGACGACAAATCAGGTACCACGATTCGTATGTAGCTCGTACATAATCGTATACGATCTCGTACGATCTGATAGTACGATCTGATAGTACGATTCAATCATCTGGGAAGACCATTTTCTAATTCAATTTTAGATGCTGAATCCAAAAACCTTTGTTTCGAGCATTGAAACACTAACGCAAAAAGACTACGGCTATTTTTTTTGAAACCTTACGTTTTTCCGTGTTTTGCACACTCTTTCAGTATTTTGAGTTTTCAGCCGCAAAAAAGTGTCAGAAAAAATCGAGGCGCATATATTCGTGATCAGCTCGACGCCCTCTATCCAACGGTGTATAATGTGTTCGAAAATAAATTCCACTCGAACTTTGAATTACATGCATCTTATGAATAGATTGTTACCAACGCTGTCGTTGAATATTGATAGGAATAACAATGATGAGAACGCAACTTTATTTGGATGATAAAATGCAGAACATACCATTACAGATATTTATTTGAAATAGCACTGTATGTACGTTAATACATAGATCCGACTGTTAATTTTGATTCGATCATCGTGGCCGACGAAAATGTCTTTATCAGCTTCCAACAATTTTATAGAGTTAGTTAGATTTGACATAAATATAGAAAATAGTCTTACGAACATTCGAGGACTATTCTACGAAAGAAAAGCCGAATTTGCGTCGTTATTTAAGTTGATGTGCAGACTACCGATGCCCTCAGTCACATGTGTGGTAAACCGTGTCTTGAAAACATCATGCGAGGGAATCGTTTGCGTTGGTTTGGCCATGTGAATCGGATGGGAAATGTGGGTGACGATGGGTCTAGATTGATAAAGACAACAATGTTTTCTTATTTTCCTAATTCCAGACGGCCACGAAATGCTGGTGTACGTAAACGATGGGAAGATAAAATTATGAATGATATTGGTAAATGGCACATTAGCAATTGGAGAAGAGATACATTATACAAACGGGAACAATTAAAAGAAAACATTTGTTTTTATATAAATGAGAATGAATGTTTCTTTGTTCGGCCTCGGAATTTGCCAGAATGTTCTTAGAGCACGTTTCAAAATATAATCCGGCCGCTACTTCGCAGCTACTATAGAATATTTCATTTTATACCAGTTTTGCTATATATAGAGTCGTACTCTCTAAAAAAAAGGTATTTTAAAATACGGAAAATGGTATAACCATTTGAACCATATCATAACTGTTTAAACGTTTAGTTTTATCAGAAAATCCTTTTGGGATTTTTAGAAATTTTTAAACAGTTATGATATGGTTCAAATGGTTATACCCTTCAACCGTTTCTCAGGAAGGCACCAAGCCGCATTGCTAGTCCAATAACGGCGCCAATCATTAATAGCACCAGCGTACCAGTTAAAGTTTCACACAATGTTGATGAACAAAATCTTTTTGACGCAGGTGCCACTGCACTTTCATTATTCCTAAAAGAAATAACTTGTATGAGACCTAGAGACGATCAAGAATGGCAAATTCATTCATGAGTGACCACAAAGTCTTAGCGAATCATATACAATTGAATGTAACTAGAGTCATTTCGGCTCCGGTTTTAGTCGAGCCCTTATAAGCTGAAGTTATCACCTAGGTGCACGAAAACTGCCATTTAATTGTGTAAAAAATGGCTTAAAACTAACATTTAATGTGTATTATAATGACCTTTTCGGAGTTTCCATTAATGATGAAAAAAATGCCAAATAATGACCAACAGTAAAAAGGATGCTCTTTCACGGACACTGTAAAATGCCATTTTTCATCCAGTTATCAGATCGTTATCTAATGCAAAAGAAAAGTGCTCGTTGAATAACTGTTTCGCGGCAGTTTTTTCCCACTTTCAAAACGGCAAAAAGCTGATCATAAATTAGCATTTAACAGTCAGTTTAGGGGCAGGTAGTTCTGTACTAATCTCACTAACGAAAGGCAGAATAATAAACAAAAACAATGTCATCGCACACAGAGGATGTACGAAATATTCGATTATCCGAGTTAATCACTGTAGAGATAACAATCAAGAGAATTGAGCGCTACCAGTCAGCGAGTGACATGTGATTCGTGACACAATTGTTCGATAAGACAGCGATCACTCCCATGAAGCAGAATGAGGAGACATTTATTTATTTGTTTGTTTACTTAACATTATATGAAATCTCGTCTACGCTTGACTGAAAAGCTTTCCACTGATGATTTAGATAAGTAGAAAATGACTAATTGTAGAGACAGAAAACTCCCTCCCTAATAGCGCTCGTCAGTTCTAGAGTTGTATAAACTTTTAAATTATATAATTAAATATGCTTGAACGCTTTTTTTTACCAGAATACCCCATAACGAGTGAGGTTTATAGAAAACACGACGTCGTGAAAGTTGAGATCCTTTGGCTTTTTTGAGTATTCCAAAATAAAAGTACGTATTAATCGATAAGCGTACGACTCGCTCCGTCTCTTTCTCACCCTCCCAATGTTTAATCTGATTGATCACAAGTACAGAACGATCTATCCCTAATACTTTTTCTTATTTTTAAACATTTTCCTTGTCTGCAGAATAGCAGAAACAGTGAAAAATGACTGCAGTTAACTAAGTTCCTGCGGACCTTTGGTTCACCGAGGATGCTTTTTAGCGAGAAAGTAGGAATCTGGAAGAACATGTTATACTACAGATAGGGCGTTTTATAGGACTTTCTGAGAGATCGTCGTGTTTCTAAGAAGAAGTATCTTACAGTTCTGGAAGAGGTGTTATTTTGACGTGAACACTGAGCTAGGCACATGAATTTTAAAAAACTAGGTTGGTCGTTAAAAGGAGACGTTTAGTGAAAAACATTTGTTTTGTACTTCATATTGTAGAACACGCCTATCTCTGGCTGATACAAAGTGAAATCCGAAAAAATTTGTACAGCAATTCACATTGAGTTTTATGCGGCGAACTTTCTCGATTTCATGCATGTCTCAAGAAGGAGGAGTTAGCTCTGTCGGTAATGCAACGAACCATTGATAATTCATTCACTATTGGACTGGAATTTCAACCGCGGATACTTCTTTTTAAGACAGAACCTATCAACACTAAGTAGGTATTTTAATCCGATCATACTATCGTTAATCGATGCTTTTTCACCAAATGCCACGAGAGCTTCACATGCAGATGATCTGACTTCTTTACTCTCATCACCAAGTGCAGTGACCAGTGCTCTAATAACTTCAGAAGTTGCTGCTTTGTCACCAATGTTCCATAGAGCTTTGCATGCACCCCGTCTGACATCCGCATGCGCATCACCAAGTGCAGTGAGTAGTGCTCTAATCACTTCAGAAGTTGCTGCTTTGTCACCAATTTCCGCAAGAGCTTCAGACGCGCTCAATCTGACATAGTACTTCTCATCACCAAGTGCAGTGACCAGTCCTCTAATCATTTCAGAAGTTGTTATTTTGTCACCAATGTTCGCGAGAGCTTTACATGCGTGCCATCTGACAAACGTACTCTCATCACCAAATGCAGTGATCAGTGAATAAATCACTTCAGAAGTTGCTGCTTTGTCACCAATGTTGCCGAGAGCTTCACATGCGCGCCATCTGACATACTCACTCTCGTCACGAAGCGCGGTGATCAGTGAATAAATGAGGTTAAGATGAGGTTTTGTAAGTGGTAATGTTGAAATCAAGGAACATGCATTCGC